TTTTTTTTTTTTTTTTTTTTTAACACAACATATAAATCAGAAATATTAAATAAACCTGTTGAAGAGTGACGATATTGTCAGTTACTGTATGTTTCCAAATACGCATGTGTAACTATTCTGGTTTTATAAATATTACTTGAGTTATTTGACACAGCAATTATAACGCACACATACAGAAAAAGTACAAAGAGTAATGAAAAAGCGTACTCTCGTCACGTTTCGTAATTGTTCGGTCGATCAGATGTCGAACGAAGATTTTCCTCGTTGAAATAAACAAATGATAAAAAAAAAAAAAAAAGATGACGAGCAGTACGGAAATATATCGTAATAGGGACGTTTTTTCTTTCCAGCGGATATTTATTTTACGTTTACGTGTACTGAGACGAGAGCTACAACCTTAATTACACAATATATTCTCATCGTATTTATTTTATTCGTATAGTCAATAAAATGTGGACCCGTTTTCGAACCAGTCGCAGGTGCAAACACAAGAACGATAGGTTTTATATATTTATATATATATATGTATATATAAATGTGTGTCGAAGCGTGAAAATAACGACAATTAAAAATGCTTGAGAATTCCTATACATCGCTTATCTCTGCGTTTGGTCAGATTTTTGTCAGAGGAATTGCTCTCAATTTTTCGTACGAGTATATCTATATTTACAAGCTCAATGTGGGTTACGTCATGCAGATGAATACTTTTTGTTGTCTCAACAACGTTCTCTTCCGCTCGTCTGACCGGATGTACTGTTTGAATATAGAAATATATATACGAACTATAGAAATACAAAGAACAAATATACTTTGATGTATTAAATCCTTAGCAAATCCCGTTCGTTTTTTTTTAAGTTTGCTTCACTTGTGCGCGTAAAAATAACGCAAAAGACAAAAGCCCGATAAAAAGTAATAAACAACATACGTCAAAATAAATATGTACATTTATACACAACAACATTTACATGTGTGCGCAATGCCGCTCTGTAAAAAATGTATTATTCACATTTCGCGGAACTAGCGGAATTCGCGCGATCTCGAACAAACCCTGCTGATTAGTGTTGATTTAATTGACGCGTTATTATTCTTTTCTCTCTTTCTCTCTTCGTCGTGTGTTTTTTTTTCCTTCTCTTTTTCCTCTGATACGTTTTTGTGCGCGAGAAAGCATCGAAGTGCAATCGGTCGCATTGTAATCGCAAAAGGATCGTCTGGATCGAAAGTGTTCTTGCCTCAGGATGCGTGCGTAACGCGCATATATCCATACGATGTACTACACATCGACGAAGTAAAATAGAAGTATTCAAGGTTTTTGCAAATGTTTCTCTCTCGTTGCTAATTTAGATTTTAGTAACGGCAAATCGTACAATTTGAAGAATAGTTTAAACACGTTATTATAAATTTCTCTTTGTATAATCTAGCAACGTATATTTCGTAAACATATGTATATACTTAATATCATTTGTATAACATTTTGTTAAAGTTAAAGACGAATAACAATTTTCACGCATTCACGCACGCACGCACGCACGCACGCACACGCATACGTAACAGCATAATTTTCTACGTAGTAAAGAAGCTTTGCGGACAGAAAGGGTCGCAGGGTGAGTCGTGCATTTTTACTTGCAAACCCGCTCACTGACCCACTTTCGCTTAATTTAATCGGCTTTTTGATCGCCTTATCATGTCTTATTTGAGACCGAGGTTTTTTAACTCGACTCGCCCTAGTACCTTATTCGTCCCTACGGTTTTCATCTATAAAATTAGCGGAATCGATGTGTGGGATCTTCTCCCCCGCGCGATACCGAGAGAGAACTTACTTCTGCCGCTCTTTGTCATGCAAATGATCCCTTTTGCTCTCTTTTTCGGATAACCGAAAAAAAAACGACGTTCAGATGCTGGAAAGAAGAGTTTTCTTTTTTTTTTTTTTAGCGCTTGAAGCAAGAGAAAGCTACAACGCGCGAGGAACATGCGTCTGTTGAGTCGGTAACCAGTTCCTCTTCCTTCTATTATTCGTTGAAAAAACGAAGAAATTTTACTATACTACTCTTGTGCGAATAATGAAGCGATAATTATGTTATCTTCATATTGTCATCCCGGAAAATATGAGCGACATAAACAGTCTAACGTTCGATGATACATAACGTTAATAACGTTAATAAAAAAGAAATAAAAGCAAAGCGCACATGTGGAAGTATGCAACTGCGTAAAAAAATGTAAAAAAATTTTTATAACAGAATATCTGCGAACACGGTTGAAAAGAGTTTTATTTTGCATTCCGAACTATTCGATCACGCCGGTAGTACGATGTTACGCAGTTACTAATTGAACACGCTCCGCGTTTTGCGCGCGACGTTCTCGCCATTTTGACATGTCGCATCGCTTTGACCGAAAGTTATGAAAAATAACGCGGTTGTTACGGCGGACGCGCAACCGCGCGGGAAATAAAATTGCAAAAAAATGTTTGTTCGTATGAAAGATAAAAATGTGTGGGACGCATTTACAATATGAGTTTCTCCGCGCGGTAAAAAGAGAGCGTGTGTGTTATGTACATATAATATATACATATATATGTATATATACATTGTATAATTTCAAAAATTACCATATTTAATCTTAAAACAGACGAGAAGCGAGCTGAAAAGTGGATAATAGAAGCTAAAAAAAGAACTAAATAACCGCACTTTACGTCCCATTCTACACGTTGAAGCACAGAGGTCTTAATAAGATCTACTTACCTTCAGCTCGGTGGTCGATAACTATTGGGAGAGATAACGAGAAACGATTGGAAACCGCGACTCTTCGGCGAATTACAGCTGTAGATTTTCCCGCGAGCGAGAGTTACAATCCATATCTACTGCACGTGAACGAGTATTATTCTCGCGAAAGAGAGAGAGAGAGAGAAAAAGAGAGAGAGAGAGAGAGAGAGAGAGAGAGAGTGAGAGAGGGAGAGAAAGAGAGAGAGAGAACATTGAATAAAAACGTCTTGGTATCACTTTTCGTCACTGAGAGGAACGCAGTCACTGTAACTATATTTTCGCCAGACTTGATTCGATGAAGCGAGTTTTGCGTCTCCGGGAGGGTTGGGGGTGGGACAGGAACGTGTTGTCGTCGTCGTCGTAGTCGTCGCTCGATAAGTCGATACACTCTGACTTCATTCTTTCTTCGTGGTGATTTTTTCTCTCTCCATCTTTTATATACGGACTCTCTCCGCGCTTCTTCACGCGTCTCGGAAACAAGTAACTTGAAATTTCCGCAAAGCTTCTTCGCGTTTCGGTAAACCTCAACTTTGCGGAAAGAGCGATGAGCGGTGTTTCCGTGAATTTTCTCCTCAAGTTTGCGCGATCTTCAAACCGGGTTTTGTCGGGGACGCTTGTCACGTGGCGCGTTTCACGCGGGGGCGGATTTGCGTGGGAATTAATGGAACTCGAGCGTCAGGTCACCCTCAACTGTCAAACAATCCTGCGGGATGTATACTTTTTATATAGAAACACATTTCAGACGACTTTTCAGAGAAAATAGAAGAAGGGAAAGAACACGTTTCGTTTTTACATTTTTTTTTTTTTTTTCCCCATTTTCTCTTCCCGCTGCTATTCGGATGATGAAAACATCAGAGGATAAACGAAAATGTTTGTTTACCAGACGAATTAAGAAAATCGGAAGATCGATGGCGATCCGGCGATTATTCGCGTCGGTGAAATGAAACAACGTTGGTATTTTCCGTTTTTTTTTTTTCTAGAAGAAGGAAAACACATCGCTCGACTATGTTAATTTCATTAAGCTGTTTACGTTACCTTCGAAAAATCGATGTTCGAGTTTAATCGGCGTGCGAAAGAAAAAGAGGAGAGCGCTTATTTATACGAAGAGAGCGGCGAATCGGAGTCTTTCGGATTCACTCCAGTGCCTTGCCTGAAGAATCCACGAGGTTATTGATCTCTTCGCCAAATCGCGGCCTAATGCGACTTAAATCGAAACCAAGGCGAGCTCCGGAAGGTGAAGAGCAGAGGGGAAGAGCGAAATCCATCGGAAAATATTCTGTTTCCGAGACCGGTGTTCCACATCCAGTATCATTTCTACAAGGTAATCTTCTTTCGCCGATGGAAGTTCTATTTCTGTTTTTTTTCCTTCCGCTATACCGGGTTTTCCTCCGTCATGCGTCAAATCCTATTGCCGTGAAATTACACGAATGTTCTGTGTCAGATCTCTTACGTGTATTGTTTTCTTTTTTTCCTCTCCTTTCTTAATCGAAGACAATTGTGCGCGAGAATTCGATGTTGACATTTTAATTCAATGCTGTCCGAAAGAGAGAGAGCATTGATCGCGCGTTGCCGGGGAGAGAGATATTATTATCCATTTTCACATCGAGCAATATAACGCTGTTTCAACATTGTTGCGCACATCGGAATATCCTCCTTTCCTCCGTTCCACAAATTAATTGGAATAATTGAATCGGATCGCAATTACATGCTCCTCTCTGTAGATTTCACTGTTTCCCAGAGCTTTATCCGTCGACCGTTTAATTCCTTCGTGCGATCGATCCCGGATTCTCGCCGATGTGTTTCCGACACGTGGATTTCCTCCTTGCGGAAAATGCGAAGGCCTTCATCCCGGGAGTGTCACACGTGTCCGGGACCTCGATTATTCACGAAAGTGATACACCTCGATCTCCGGCGGCGCTTTCCTCCTACGTTATTATACCCCTTTTCCATCCCACGGTCGCAATATTCCGCCCCCTCGCGGTCGGCGTCTCTCGTTCATCACGGAGAAACGTTTCGAAATTCTGAAACAGCCTCCATGTTTCTCTTCCCTCCTTCGGTGGATTTCCTCGACGCGCGTCATACGGAAAGACCCGTTCTTTCGCGCAATTTATTACTCGGTTTCGCGCGTCGTTATCGCGCTCGAATTTATTTACAGCTCGATAATATCCGGCGCGCGAAACTGCACTTTGCTGCAGTATTTAACCTCCTGCACGATCTTGTCGCCGCAATTGTCCCAGTCCAGCTCGACGTCGTCGCTCCGCACGTCGTCGTCCTCCTCCTCCTGCAGGTCCTCCAGGACCTTGCATCTGTCTAGACGCCAGCCGCCACCCTTGCCGCCGGCCGCCGACTTCTTCTCGCGGATTTTATTCTGGCGAACGGATCGCCGTGGTTATTTGTATCTGAAAGTCGAGCAGAAAAAACGGGCGAGCTTTGGAGCGTGAGTGTGCTCTTATCGATCGCGGACTTATCGCCTTACGTCTTTATAAAATATGACTTCGTGTACTCTATCTTTGGTTTGTTTTTTTGTTCTTTTTTTGTTTGGTTTTTTTTTTTTTTTTGGTTTTACTTTTCTAATGCGGACGCTTTGACACAGATTGAAAACTGTGGTCGAAACTGTGTACCGATTTGTGATGTCCGTTTTTAGCAATGGTGTAAATAAACGCAATTCCGATAAATCAAATATTTGCCGTGTTTCGTTGTGTGTCGAAGTATGTGTGTGCTTATATGACGACAACCAGATCGCGATACTAAAAGACACGAGGGGGTACAAAGTCTCTTTCTTTATATATATATGTATATATATATGTATGTATGTATATATGTATTCTGCATAATATCGCCGCAAATATCTTAATTATATCGTTATCATGTGTGTTGAACACGCAACGCGATACAGCGGCATTCGCATTTCGCTGATAATAGAAATACGATCGAGTGTGCGTTTATACGAGCTGCACGTTAACGTGCTAAACTCAGCTCTTCAAATGTGTATCGAGTATATATATTGTGATATATATGTATTATATATATAGATACGTAAATTGAAACGCGCGGGTGTCGCTGGGACAAAATATTTATTTATTTTTTTTTTTTTCATCGTTCAGCTTGTCCCGTTGTAAAAGAGTTTTCCATCATCAATTCTACGGGAATCGGGTCAACATCGCGCGTTACTTTCGTTATGAGCCATATCCGTATTTTCTCCCCACAGGAAAAATTCGTACAACATCTGAGTGAGTTATTCTCCCATTTTGAAAATTTTTAGGAAAATTAGTCTTGATTGGAATTGTCGCTTTCTATATCTGCAATTTACAAAAACAGAACAATTCTCGCTAAAATAAACTTTAAAACGTCATCATCAAGGATTTGAGTAAATTTTTATCGATTTTTCTCCGTCTCTCGCTCGAGAAATATTAAGAGTGTCTCGACAGAATTCTTCGACAATAATCTGAGATATATATATATATATATATTTCTGTGAAAATCTCGGAATTGCGGGACTTACCTTTCCGGTAAAGGGCATTCCAAAATTCTGCAGAATGCCAGACCGACCGCCATCATTAGTATCACAAATAAGACCGCGTATATCACGCACAGATGAACCAACGAAAAAATATACAGCATTTTGTGACACCATCTATTGGGCGAGTACAAAGTCATTTCGTATTCCGGCCACATTATGTGCAGTATCCAATAATGTCCTGAAACGAGAAAGCAGAAACAACAACACATGACACGTATATACGAAGATTGATACTTGATTTAAAGTCTAAAGCAATTGAGAAGCACGTTGTTTCAGCGCGTCAGAAGAGAATTATCGTCAAAATTAGCTCAAAAAATCTTTTCTATTCGAAACATTTTTTCTATTTTATTTCATTCGTCTTAACGAAACTTTGTTCTTGCATTTGACCCGAATACTTTTTAAGTGGTAACGACCTCGCGCACAGTTACGTCACATACATATATCAGGTGCTCGCGATTATAAAGAGTCTGCAATTACGTGACCGACCAATAAACTTGTCGTGTTTTGCCACTTGCGAATTGGCACGCCGCACGAGATAGGTATATAAATAATATTTCACAATGTCTGGTCACGGAATGACTGAATCGTAATTTTTGCGAAATTGCAAAATTTTATTTTCTTATGCAAACAATATGTATTTTGTTATTCTTTGCCATTTGAGTTCGTTAATCCCAAGATGGGAGAAAAAACTACGCTAAAAAATATCTTTTTTGGATATATGTAAGTTAGCTTTAATTTGTAATTTATGCTGACGTGTACAAAAATTTTATAGTGTATGAGGCATCAAAATACACGTCTTTATTGATGATAATATCGCGAGAGCGCACTTCTGAGGCGGTCCCTTGGCACCGATTCACTTTTCGTTCAAGATAGGACACGTCGTTAAAAAAGCCATCCGACGCTGTATGCGAAAAAGCCTTCTTGACCTCGATATCTTCGCCGACGTAAGAATTTGCACGGAAGAGTAACGTTGGAAAGCGCTGAGCAATTAAAAAAGCGCGGCGCGCGCAAAGAAGTTAGACACAATACACGATATTTGCGGAACAATATTTGCAGAACACGTCGCAAGAATGTTTATCGAAGTTTGTATGTCGCTTCGTAAATTCAACCATTTATATATATTTTTTTTTTTTTTTATTGAATTTGCATGCTCTGTTCGGAGAGTTTTGCTTGGAAAAAGAGTATGTAAGATATAGTTAGATTAAACGTTAAAATCATTGAAAATGTTGATTTTCAAGTTTAACGTATAAAATAATGCAAGAGAAATAACAATATAAATATGAATGAAAACACCTTTACTTATACAGAGAAAACCCGGCGGGATTACCAGTTTTATCGTGTATTAATTGTAACTTTGTTGTTGCGTTATAATAATCTTCTGGCTTTTATTCGCATAGCGGCGTTTGCGCGTTAAAGGTTATTACAGAATCGCCAAACAAACTTATTACTACGAGGCGCATATGTTTTCGTAATGCGGCTTTCGCTTTGCACTCGTTAAAATAATCCTTTTGCCGCTTTAAACACTCGGAAAGTTCGGCAACTGTCGGGATCTAGCGCGGAATCATCACGTGCAATTTCAAATGAAATTTCTTGCTTACCTAATATGAACCACACCACCAGGAAGAACGATAAAGCTACGGAGAGCAATTTCATAGGCGAAGCGTACGTTCTGGTGCTGGGTACGGACAAGACTTCCGGTCTTCGGGATCGTATCTGTGAATAGAGCGCCCAGACCATACGTACGGTGCCGAGCACTCCGCCGATCAGCATGTACACAGGAATGAATGGCTCTTTCGGACAATCCTTGATGAACTGCACACCTGCAACGACAGAGTTAATTCCGATTTTCAATGCGCTCGCTTATTCGCCGTGGTGAAAAAAAAAAGATAGCCTACTGAGAAGTCGTGAAAAATTACTGTTTACACAGTGTAGACGAAATACATATAACATAACATACATATATACATACATACATATAACA